GCTGCCCATCAGCAGTTCGATCTAGGCTGCTGCACATAGCCTTGAGTGTCAGGCTGGGAGCAATCTGTTGGCCAGCCTGTGTTTGTCCCATTAACTGTCACCTACCCTCCTCTTAAATGATGGTAACTCTCTTCAGTGTGTCCACAGTGCTCCTGTTTATCCCCGCTTGCTTGCAGTTTTCATCAGTCTAGTGTTACTGCAATAGTCTCCTCCACAGCTACAGTATATTTACTGATCTCTTGCAGTATTTTCAACACCAAAAGCAGCATTTTGCATATTTCTCTTATTAGCCCTGGCACAGTGAGCACGTGGCAAATATGTGTTCAAAAATAACTCCCCCCGTTGTGGTCCCTGTGATCCTACAAATTGCCTGGTTTAGAGTCATTGTCTGATTGCCGGGTCTGCTAAGGTGCGCCCCACCCGTCAGTGTGATGGACAGGCTGCGGTAGCTCATTAAAACCTGTGAACTGTGAAATTTGTGCGATGGCTCGTTCACACGGGCAACCGGGGCAGGGAGCCGCACCGTGCACGTGCAGTTCCACGCGTCTGTTTTCCAGCTGCTGTTCTCTTTTCTTGCCATAGTGTGCCTTTTTTTTCAGAGATAGAAACTGGGGCAACAGAAGATTCTCTCAGGACAAGTCATCAAAGCTCCCCGTGCGTCTGCATATGCTCCACTTTTGGATGGCAGAGATGTGAACACAGTTCAAATTCAGGTTGTTATACCATTCACACAATTACATTTCTCTCACTTAGAAAAAAACACACCAGTGTGAGCCAATTATCTCCACCACATTACCAGCTTTAACAGACAGCTGCTCCACATAAGGCCACATAATGTGGTCTAACTAATAATTATTATGAGTACACATCATAACTCATAATTCATCTAGAAGTGCATAATTAGGCTACAGTTCACATCTCTGGCTGAAGTACATTACACACACACAGATGTTGTGCTGTAATCATGCATATGGAGCAGGGCATAGAAAGCAGCTCTCTGGTTCAAAGCCACGTTTCTTCTTCTTCTTCTTTGAGGAGAATAGTTTAAAAGACATTTACATAGCTAGGCGAGAGGGGAGGAAAAGGCGCAATCTTCTCGCTTTAGTTCTTAAACTGGGATGCTGAAAAGGCAGTCGCCGGGTATGAAAATGGAAATATTATCTCTTTGTTAAAGTAGTTTGAAGCGATGCACAGTTGGCACTGACATTTACCAGAATGATGCCCAATCTCTTTACACGAATCAGTCAGGGCTGCCATGTGAAATGTCCTCGCAGTCGCACGCAAAATGTCATTGGTGGGATTTAATAAATACCCAAAGTTGGCAGGGGGGAAAAATGCATGTTGACACCAAGAGAATAACAATCTGTAAATAAAACTCCAGCATCTGCTGCATTCATCTGACTTCATGTCAAATATATTTGGAGAAAACACACACACACACACACCCAGGATAAGATCATTTGATGTCAACAACTTGTAAATAGACTCGTTTAATAAATTGATTCATTTTCTGGGACTCAGAATAATGTAATGTGAAGAATAATGTAAAAAAATTCCTTACTTGTATGAGGCTCAAATTTGAGATGGTAGAAGGTCGTCTTATTTCGCTTTCTAATTGCCTGCTATCGTGCAGCCGATGATAGATCCTCCAGGAAAACTGATTAGGAGGTGAAACGAACACACAGCCTCCTCTCTTCCTCTTTCTCCGTCTGTTTCTCTCTCTCTGTGTCACACAAACACTCTAACCCCCCACCTCCCACTCCCTGCCTCCCTCTCTCCCCCCCCCTCCCAATCTCATTTTTCGCTCTGGGCGCTGCACGATGATAACTTGACTCCTCTGCACCCATAAAGGATGAATTAAAAGCTGAAAGAAGGAAAGGGGGGATAAAAAAAAGAGAAGATTTTTCCAGTTGCAGTGTGACCGCAGCGAGACACTCAGTGTACCTCGGCAGCATCGGAGCTTTCGCCAGCCAACCGTGCACAGCACATCACATCACTCGCTTGTAAATCTGCCCCGAAGCACAAAATCCAAATATACTCTAATCTGAACACTGAACTGCCAACATAAATGTCACCTCTCAGATATGGAGAAAGTCTGGGCTCTGGGAGTCTGAAGGTAGAAAGAATAACTGCTTTTTGCGCACTCAACTTGCCACACATTATTCTAAACAAATTACACTGTGAGTGGTGGCCCATAAAATTACACAGAGTCCTGTCAAGACCTCAAAAAACATACATGTGCCAACTGTCATGCCATATGGACCAACTCCACAGGGCATCTCCCTCTAGCCTATCCGGAGGTGGGGGATGCCACTATCTAAGTCCTGAGTAATCAGATTTCCACTTGCATTCATTTTCTGTGGGATGTTTTTTCTTTTTTTTGTGCTTGTTCGACCTCACTGGACAATTTAATTTAGGATTGCATCAGAGATTAAAGAGACCCTCCCCAGATTAATGCATATAATCTGCTACTAAAACAATAGACATGAGTGTAGGCTAAAGAGAGATAACAAAGGGATGAATTCATAGTGCTAGTGAAGTCCTTTCACTGTGTTTTATTTCGAAAAAAAATGACAAAGATATAGTGCCTTAATTCCACACACTGTGTGGCATATTGAAAAGCTTCATTTATTTCCAGACAGCCACAGATAAGTGATACCCCTAGAGTATAATTAAACTGCAATCATCCATCATTAGTCATGGCATGACAGCCTCTGTCCAAATAACCTTCCCTGCTTCAGAAATGGGAATAACCAGTTTTTTAGGAGAGCAGTAGGTGTGCGTGTAGAGAAAGCAGAATCTGGCCCCATGTTATGGTTACAAATTGGCATATTTGAGTTGTGTTTTTAAAACAAATATTGTAAATTTATTCTAGACTCATTCAAGTATTTGCCGAGAGGTCCTTCCCTTATCAAAGGGACCAGGCACTGTTTGACCCAGGTTACCAAAAGTCTGTGGCACTCCTAGGAGGAATATACTATTACTACATTTACATAAGCGGATGCTCCCAGAATAATGTGTTACACAGATGTTCAGTCCGCATACTGGGAGAATGTGTGTCCACCAAATTATGAACAAACTCCATAAAAAGTTTTATTAGCAACTTGGCATTTTCTCTGAATAGATGAAATATTCTCAGCACATTTGCAAAACTCGAATTACACATTACGTGTTATATGTAAAGACTGTTAATCCTCATGTGGCCACATGGGAGCTATACTGATATAAATAGTGTGATGTTCAAAATCTTAAACTAAATTTGGGAACCCAAATTCAGTATAATGCAAAAACAGAAGCTGTATAATTTGTATCAACCTTGAAAGTCAATATCTGGAATGAACATTTTTATTCTTCAGCACAGTCTGTTAGGTAGTTTCATTGTAATTTATTTAAGTAGTCTTCAGGAATAGCTCTCCAGGATTCTGGAAGGACATCCAAAGCTGTTCTTTGGATGTTGGCTGCTTTTTGTTCCATTCTCTGGCAAGATGATTCCACACTTCTTCAGTAACGTCTTGTTTCTTCAAGACACGACTCTCTGAACTCGTCTGCAGTAGATAGTATTTTAAGTATGCCACTGAACAGGCTGAATCGGAGGGCCAGCTCTGTTCTAGGATGCCCTCTAGACCCAGGGGAGGTGGTGAGTGACAGGAGAATGGTGGCTAAGCTGTTATTCCTGTTGGACAACATCTCCCACCCCATGCAGGAGACTCTAACAGCACTGAACAGCTCCTTCAGTGGCAAGCTGCGGCACCCCTCTTTCCTTCCCACTGCTGTCAGACTCCACAACAAAGACTTCGCAGTATTTTATTCTGTTGTATATAGTATCTTGTTCTTATTATCTTATCCTATTCCAGGGTTTTTCTTATTTTTTGGTACTGTAACTGTGCACTGTCCACTTTCTGCTGTGACACAACAAATTTCTGACATGTGGGACTAATAAAGGTTATCTTATCTTATCTTATCTTATCTTATCTTATCTTATCTTATCTTATCTTATCTTATCTTATCTTATCTTATCTTATCTTATCTTATCTTATCTTACTTCTTCAGCCCTTCACTTGTCCAGTTTCCTCAAATTTCTTAGGGACACACTCCACACCATGTTAAGATATGCCAGGTTGTCACCTTATACTTCTTTGGGAACCACATTGCTGACTCCCAATAATAGTATTTTATGTTTATCAAACTGTGTTATGTTTGGCATATTTTGTAGATTCAACAAAAGAAACAGGAACTAGTAACAAAGTACCTAAAGACACAATTTAAAATTTAATGCCAAATGAAACACGATTCTTTGCTAACTGGTCTGTTATGTGTAACCACAATAGTGGTTCAAGTGTTTTGGCTACAAATAACAGACAGACCGAACTGAAAATGAACCAGAAAGCAGCAGATCTCCAAAAAAAAGAGAGCTTTGAATCACCTTCAGAAAGCCTAGGAAACTCTTGCTCTAGACTACTTAAAAATTAGCAGAAAGTCTGGCTTCTTGGAAACAAAATATAAAGAAATGAGGGGTGAGTCAAGACTTTTGCATGGACCAAATACCAAATTTACAATTTGGTATTATTAGTCTGTCCTTTCCTGCTCTGTCTTTCTCTCATCCTTCTCTGCATCTTATGTATTTACACAATTACAGGTCAGGAGAACCTTTTCACCCTGCTGCCTAAAATGAAGTTCAATTATATAATCTAGAACAGTATTATATTATGAGATTATTAAGGGATCTTAATAAATTTCAAAGTGATTCAGCTGTGTTCGACCTACTCACAGCTGCGCATTGGAGCGAACAACGGCCTCTTCCGTTTACTTATGATTATGAGCATCAGAGTAGCTACTGCAGATCATCGCATTTGGTGTGTTTTATAACAAAGCATATTTATATGTCAGTAAAATAACATTTTTCATATATATACATAAGTCGATCTAAATGTATTAATGTACGCCGGTCTATCGAGTTCCGTGGTGAACATGCGTATGTTTCTGCGCAGGTTTGATCCACCTGAACTGAGTGGACGGTGACAAATGCGGAAGTGTCATGGCGCCGTGCTGCAGAATCATCAACACTGTCATGCAGTGTCCCACACAGCACTGGTAGAAACAGTCTGTAATGACTCTGGGGTTTTGGATTAATATTTCATAAGGACGTCAGAGGGACAATAACGTAAGTAGGCGAGAAAGCACAGCATGTGAAAAGTTCGTCCTGAAAGTTAAAACAAAGTGTCCCGTGTCATTGTATTTCACTGGAATGTGGCCACGTGTTGCTGAGGTAGTCTAAAATCATTTCAAAGAATTAAAATGTGTCTGCAGGATCTCTGTTTATAGTGATACAATAACGTGTCAGTAATTTATGTCACAGTGTTATAAGCGCTACTTTAGTAAAAACACAAAAAGTAGAAGCTCAGATTTACATTGTTGTCTGTGTTCAGAACAAAAAGATAATGTATATTACAACGAAATTAATAAGTACATACTACATGAATCAATTATGTCAACAGTATGTTCTGCGGTCTTATAGAGCAGGGTATATATCTATATTCACCCTTTAAAATCTGAAGTCACATTTAAACATATAATACTATATAATATAAACATTTAATCCTTTTTAACATTAAGATTTTAATTTAAAAAAAAATAAGAAAATTCTATTTCAGATTTCATGCTGCATTGGACCAATGCTGTACCATTTAAAAACAAAAATAAATAAATAAACCAGTAGCTAGTTTAATTGAGTTTTACAACATACTTCTAAATTGGAAAAATAAAGCTCCCCCAACTCACTCTGCCTTGACACAATGTATCATTTACAGTTGGAGAAAATTACATTTTCATTGAGAGATAATGTTAAACAGTTTTTAATGTTAAACATTTCATTTGTTCTACAGACAGGCAACCCAACATTTAGCTTCATCATTATTAGGATTTTTATGCGTGATATCTGTTTGTAGACTTATATAATTGTATGTAATTATACATGTATATTGAGGTAGGATCAAATGAGTTTACCTTTAAGTCTGTTTGTACCAACCCTTTCTTTGTCTCATTATTGTTTAAAGTGTATTTTGTTGTTATTTTAGTCATGTTCAAAATAAATCAATCATTCAGTGGAGAA